GTAGAGCTAGTCATCTTCAGCTCTGTCTTTTTAAAAGAATTGTCTATACATGTAGCTCAATGGTAGAACACATGCTTACCATGTGCAAGGCCCTGGATTCAATCTCCAGCACAAAAAATCTCACCCACCTTTGATATCTCTCTTCAATTATATTCCATATTCTATTATTACATTCTATATTCTATCTATATTTTGTTGTGGGCTCCATAACTTAAGAGAACCACAGGAGGCAGGGATGTAGTTCAGTGGTAGATGACTTGTCTAGCATGGGCAAGGCTCTAAGTCTGATCCTCATCACCAGAAATAAAATAGAGAAACATGGACAAGCTGGAATTAATTCAGCATGGGAGGAATAACCAGGAGGAAAGGTTGAATTCCAGATCTCATAAGAAAGAACTGAAAGGGAAGACATAATGTTTTTCATTCTCTCAAGGGCTTCTTTGTCTTCCTTCCTTCCTTCCTATTTTCCTTTTAAGATAGAAGCAGCACTCTTGTTTTCTGTGGTCCCAGATTTCAAAGCCCGATGGATAAATGACAGAGGGAAATGACTGCAGTTCAACATAAAGGAAAACTGTCCACAGCCCACAAGGGCCAAAGGTGAAATGGACAGGCTTAGATAGGTATGAGATGTCCCCAAGACCACTGGAGAACATATTCAGAGACACTACATAGTAGGCTTGTGAATGTTGTTACACTAAGTGACTTCCAAAGGCTCTTCCCACTTTAAGATTCTGTGATTCTAAGGCCCCCACCAAGAGCAGCAGTAATGCAGCATCCCTGAGTTAAGCATGCCCTTTGGCGCTTGGGGGCAGCAGACACTAAGAGCATACCTTCCTGTAATCTCTGCTGTTCTTTATTAACTTCTCAGAGATGGGTCAGCATATTTTCCCCTGGTTCTGAAAAAGCCTAACTATAAACATAATGATGTTCTCTCCAGATAATCACCCCATAACTAGCAATCTCTGAGTTTGTCTCTTTTTCTCCTTAAAGAAATTCATGGACAGGGGATTAGGATGATCAAGTTGGGGGAGGGGGGGGTAGGAGGAAACCATTTTAACTGTTTTAGGCACAGTGCTTAAGTGTCTTCCAACTAGAGTTGAATTATTTTCTTTGAAGTTTTGGATGGGAAAAACCCTGTAACAAACAAGGCCATTTTCCCTTCAAAGAGCAAACACATGGTTACTGACAGAGTACTAGGTGTATTATATATGGTAGACCAACAGGGAATAAAGTCCTAGGTATGCAAAGAGGTAGCCAAGTTTTACAGGACACACCATGCACCTTTTTTGTTTTACTTCCTCTTTTCTGTCTCCCTGAATAGATTCCTATTCCATGCCTCCAGATCTCCTGCTATTTCTGGAGGAAGGCTACAGTCATGAAACTAAGGCAGTAGGTATCTTTGCTAATTCTAGAGTAAAAGATGTGTGGGGGGTGGTTCATATTAATCATCAAGCTGAATTTAGCTCTTATAAAGCATGCCCTATGAAAATAATTTTGGGACTGCTAGGCCTTGGGCTGGGACTAGGGCTAGGTCTGATCTGTAATACAACTAAAAGATTTGAAAGGTTCTATCATTGTTCATATAACCTCTGCATACAACGAGAACTCAAAATCACAGCCAAATTTATCTCCAGCTGAAAGAAAACTTTAATCTGATCATTTTGATCCTTTTTAAGTCTCAACTTTCTCCTTCTGTGCTTCTGGAAATAAGGTCAGAATGAGGATGGCAGAGGGGCTTACAAACAGCTTAAAGAGCATGTTCTGGCATTGTCCTAGGTTAAGGATAGAAAATAGTGTTAGGGTTTGCCAAATTCATTCTCACATTATTTGTGATAATAAAGATGGGGCAGGTATGCCAACTGTCACTCTATAGAGCCTTGGCTACATGGAGGATAAAATGACATGGGAAATTCAGTGTGCATTATGTGGACTTTCTCCTCCAGACTACTCTCCTACCCCATTCTACTTTGTTAGAGGGCAGTAACTAGCTCCCACTTGCCTTGCATCTACCAAAAATGGGCCAGTAAAAGTGCAAAAATGAAGAGGGAGAATGACCTTCTGTACTTTTCATCCTAGCTTCCCTCCTCCTTTTCCAGCATCCCCACACTGGTATCACCCTTCCTTTTCTCTACTATCATTTAAATTCAGAGCATGTTTCCAAGAACTTGAAACAAATATAGGAACCTCAGACTGCAGTTCCACTTTCTCCCTCTGTTCCTTCTCTCTGACCCCTTATAGAAGGATAGCACCTGAGTCTCCTAGGCCTTTAAGAAGTCCAATATGGTGCAGAATCATTGGTGCCAGAACCTTGCAAAGTTCACCCATCCACTAAGAGAATCATTTTCCAATGAAGGGAGGCAACTTCATGGACGACTGTCTACACTATAAATAAAATAGTGACATCTGATTAGACAGGAACCCCCACTTCATTCAGACAATACTTGCACCCTGTCTAATGACACTAGTCAAATAAATTAATAAAGTTAAGGTTATAAGACCAACTTCCTTGTGTCCATGCTACTTTCTTATTTTTCCATATGTCATGGTGGCACTAGCGATAAATTAAACTATCCCCTAAAACTTGTGATAATCAGTAGAATGGTTTTAACATTTTGTCTCTTTGCCATTTCATGTAAGTAAATGGTTATAAAAGTCTCCATAAATCAGGCAGCAAAATTCTCCATATTCACTGAAACCATAACAGCTAAGTAGCAACTGATGATTTCCCCAACTTGATCATCTCCTAGCCCAAAGGTTTTCCATTAAATCAGAGATAAGCTTTACACTCTATGCCTTCTTCTCCCACTGGCCACCTTTTGTTAAATTTCTCTACATCCCTGGTGTCTCTATCTTTTCTACCTTTTCTATTTCTGTCTACAAGCACATGCAAATACATCATCCCAAACCCAAAGTACTTTTTATTTCCCCAAACCAAAGGAGATTTGCTGCTATTTTGCATCATGGCTCTTGGCTCTTCTGTCTCTGACTGATGTAAGTGATTTAGAGTTACCAAAACAGTCTTCTCCACTCCCTCAGCACTGACTTCATTAGTTCAACCCAGTTGACATGGAAGATGGCATGGGAAACATTACTGGGATAGGAGATTGAGAGTGAAAGTTATTGTTCCATGCTCCCTCACAATCTGCAGTATTACTAAAAGAATAAAGATATTTTCTAAGTCATAGAAAAGAAAATGGACTTGGACTACACCACTGATTCACTACATGACAGATATAAGCAAATCACTGAATGCATCCTAACCTCAGTTTTTCCATCAGCTTCTCTGCAATGTTCCCTGACTGTCTCACAGTGTTGCTGTAAAAGGTTTATGAAATAAGGGATATGAAAAACATTGTGCACAGTAACACTGCATGCAAATGTAATAGTTCTCTTCCTTACTCCCTATATAACAGTTCTAGTGAAGAGTTTCAGGGCTAACATAAAAGTTCCACTACAAAACTGTCATAGTATCATTTAAAGACTGCCAACTTCAACTTCATTTGGGACCTAGGGATGCCCAGGCCCAGGAAAGATAAGTGATAGACACAAGATTCCAGAACTGGAGCATGACAAAGCAAGGATTAGAATCCAAGTTTCCCATTCACAAATTCAATTCTATTTCTAGACCATCCCCACCAGTGGATGCAGACTAAGAAAGCTATTTGGGGGGACAAAGCTGTATTGTTCTGAAGCCTAAAAAGAAACAAACTAAGGTAGAAAAATGAAAAGGGGGATTAATAAAATATGCCAAATAGCATCTTGCCAAGAAAAAAAAACAACACAGGCAAACATTTCACTGAAAATATCCTCCCTTTATGTAATGTTCAGGCTAACCCAGTCATACCTGGCTTTTACTCTAAGGAGTAAAGCTATTTGGGAAGAATGAATAACTGATTTTACCCCCAAACTATCCAAATGCATGTAATAATGAGCCTTCTTTTAATAGGGGCCAAGTGTACATTGAACAGAAAGGGAATCATTAAAAGGCACCCTGCCTCTCCACACATGAGGCACTTCCTTAACAACACAGCCAAGAAAACCTTCATTTATCCTCAAATAATCCCCCAGCTAGACCACAAATTGCTGGCTGCCCCATACTTAGTAACACCCCCTGCCGTGCTCCTATGGGCTCACAAAAATAATCCTGGACCACAACAAGCTCTCTTAGAAGTGGCTGGCAGGTTGGGTCAGCCCTAAACAGAGCTGGAAAATGACCTCTGTAAGAGGTTGTCTAGGCAAACTGGAAATTCTGTGGACTGCCAGAAGAGTTAAAGAAAGGGAGGAACTGCGAGGGTTTGGAAGGCTGCGTATCCTATTGTGACCTTGGTGGAAAGTGAAGGGAAGAGGAGGAGTTTGCTGAGAAGAAATTCCTCAAGGCTAGGATTCCCCTCTCCAAGCGGGTTGTTTAAGTGTTTTTGTTTTTAAAAAATGTGGTTTATTCCAGAGAACGCAGGAGAGAGAGTGCCTGGGGGGGGGGCGGAGAGGGTGGATTACAAAGGCATCTATCTCAGTCTGGTGAGATATATTGGATGAAGATCACCTGGCTTTGGGGTTGCCTCAATAGACCTCTGACAGCCTGAGCTGATTGGTGAACCCGGGCAACACTATACGGTTGCATCAATGCCTGAAGGACACCCACACAAGTTAGCCAGCCATTCCAATGCAAGGAGAAAGCAACACAGGTTTTTATGGGTGTGTATCTGGGGTAGGGGTAATTTCTAGAGCCCTGCTGCGATGTGAAAAACACAGAAAATAAACTATGGCCTCATTTGTTCCCTAAGAGGCTACATCTTTCTATTTCATTCAGGAATTCACATCTCCAATCTCAACTGCAGTTTGAGTGGGTGGGAAAGGTGAAATCTGAGAGTGTAAAAGAAACAAAAACAACAAAAAGCTATGAAGTTCATGAAGTTCCTTCACCTGGCAATCTGGTATCTAAAGGTGAATCATCTTACAAGTCACTCTTCCCAGTAACAGCCCCAGGTGGCCCCTCTCCGCACCTTCATCCCCACACTAGACTCCTGGATTTGGAGGTTCTGGAACTCAGAATTCTTCATCGGCCTCCACAGCAAGTTGACTCCAGCTTATCACAGGCTCCTAAAGCAAACTAACCCTGGTGGTCGCGTTCAGCACAGCTGCGCTTCAGGGCACAAAAGTTCCCTCCACACTTCTCAGCTTGAGGAAGTCTCGCCGGCACAGAGTAGAGCTCAGGAGGGAAGGAAAGGCCGAGTGGAACCCGCAGCAACAACGCCCCACCACTGAATGGACTTGTGGGCGTCCAGCTGTGAGAAGAGAGGCTGGCGAAAGCCACCAATGCCTCATCCCCATTCCCGAACCAGACCCCAGCCCAGCAACCTGCCCAGGCCGGACGCTCGCCCGACTGACCAATGCAGAGCTAGCTACCTAGCCTAGCGCCTGTGCCCTAAAGCGCCTCGCTGTCCCGCCGGGCGCAGGGGCCTCCAAGGAGAACCCCCAGCAGCCGCCATTTCCTGAAGCCCACATTGAGGTGAGTGGCCTCCCCGCCGTGGGGGGAGCCTGACTACCCTAGTGCTTCAGGAGTGTGTGCGCTCAAGGCTCTGGTCCCAGCCGGCTGGCTCTAGTCCCACTCTCCAGCCACTCAGCAGCAGCCTGCGGCAGGACCCCTCCGCGCTACTCCAGCCCCTCCAGCTGGGGCTGGCCAAGAAGCGAAGTGGGGCTAAGGCCCACAGCCGTGCAGCTGGCACTCCCGCTTGGCCCATTCAAAGTCGGACGCTGCGGGAACCCAGCCACCACTCCTTACCTTCGACACAGTAAGCGGCTCGCAGTGCTCCAAGCCCCCCTTCAGGGTGAAGCCCCAGGGCGCCCCCCCCTGCAGTTGCACCGGGACGTACTGGAAGGACCCGGGCCGACTCTCCATCCTCTCCTCCGCTCGGCAGGCGCCGCCGGGCTCCTTTTCCGCGGGGGCTACAGAGCCTCCGCCCCCAGCAGCTTAGCCACCATCGCCCTCCAGCGCCTAGCCACTCACTCCGCACAGCCCCGCTCCGCCTACTCTCTTGCTGGAGAAGCTCGGGCCGCGAACGACCTCAAGGAGGAAATGACACGGAGCTGGAGAAGGGGGAGGGGGGTGGGACGGCGGGGGAGAAGGGGGAGAAAAAAGAAAAGAAAAGAAAAGGAAAAGAAAAGAAAAGAGAAAACAAAAGAAGAAAAGAAAAGAAAAAAAGAAAAGAGGCGGAGGGATAGCGCGTAATGGACAAGAAAATGGAGCAATGAGGAGGAGCAGTCACTAGGACCTCGCCTATAGGATCGCTGAGGAGTGGGAGTAAGGCGAGGCCTCACATCAATTGTTACATTGTTTCATTCAAGCACCCGCCCCCCCTTGGTCCTCCTCTTTACTGCAGAGCTCCCCGCCCCTGCCTTCAGCCCAAGCTAGAGGAGGTGAAAGTTGTTAGTGTGTATGGCCTACATGGCTGAGTGGGCTTTTCTGATTAGCTCCTTCTCTGACTGTCTTTTACTTCTGAAGGTCCTGAGACGCAGGTCCGTGGAGGGGTTACAAGGCTGTGGATCTAACATAGAGGGGCAGAAAGTAAAGTAAGTAATCCCGTGGACACATTGGGGTTGTGCGCGCAGACTGCTCCTAATGTACCTACCGGCGTGGGGGGTCATTGTGAAACTCTGCCGGCGAGCTTAGTTTAAATAAAGGAACACTTTGAGGGTGCCCCCTGCCTGGGTTCAGCCAGTAAGCTAGCACTGCTATGGCATCTATGGGAGTACAGTGCTTGTTCCAGTATTCTGTAGCTCCTGGCACAACTTTGCACTTGCCCCGCCGAGATGACCAAGCCAAGGATCTGCAAACTTATGACCAACAATATTATCTCTAAACAAACCAACAGGAAAGAGCATCCATTGAGAAGGTGACCAATTAATAACGTGCTTTTTGGAAGAATCGGCTTTTCACAGGGTCTGAAACACATCCAACCATCTGTTTTTCCTTGAATCTGTTTCTCAGTTATTTTTTAAGAGTAGACCAAACAAGTATAATAACAGTCCTAAGAAATGAATGTGTTTCTTGAACTGATGCTGATTTCTCAACCTCGACCTAAGCAGGTTACCTTCCCTTTCAGGGTGTTTTCCTTTGCAGTCACAAGTAGGCAATGATTTTTAAAAAGATCTCACGCTGCCAAGGAAAGTGTTGGCAAGTCAGTGGTGAGTCAACAGAGTATTCTGACTTTGTCTTGCTTTTTGAATGTCTTTTCCCATTCCTGCACAGTTTCAACATTCTCTGTCCCCTTCTTTCCATTCCTGGCTTTCTACAACTAAGGTGTCCACTCCCTGATTCCATTTCCTCACTGCTTCTTCACCACACAGCCTGCCCTATGCCCCACCACCGGCCAAGGAAAATTCTCACACAGGCTCCCTTCACCCAAACCATCCTTTCTTAGCGTTTCTATGCTGTCTGCATTTATGATATTGACAACTTTAACACAATGGTCATTTGGATAGATATAGTCTACTTTTTTATGTGCTTTAGAGATGATCCACATAGGAAGCTACCCTCAGATAAATTTAGGCAGCTAGATGTAAGAAAAATACCATGTTCATGCTGCTAGAAATCAGAAAATATCATTTCAAATTATTGATCCCCTTTTCAAATTTTTCAGTGCTGAGGACGGAACCCAGGGCCTTGTTCATAATGGTTCTACCATTGACATATATGCCTCCAGACTCCCTTTTTATTATGAATGCTTTTGATGCTAGGAATTGAAACAACTTGTTGATACTTGTGTGCATGCACATGTGTACAATGATGGGAACTGAACCCAGGTTCCCTTAAGAATGCTAGACAAGTACTCTTAGCACTGGGCTATATCCTCAGCCCCAACTTGATATTTTAGTTTGTGGAGAGCCACAGCCTCCGCCGCCATTACAAGATGGCGCCGGTATCCGGACCTTCTTAACAGTAAACATCCTGCTGCGCCCATAAGGGGCGTGCACAAGAGCCTGCTCTCCCTCGCCTCCTCCCGTGGCGTGATCTCCAGCAACCAATCCGCTTCTTATAC